TGCTCAACAGCCACATGGAGTTGGTGACTACCATATTGGATGGAACAGACATTGAACATTACCATTATCACAGAAACTTCTATCTTTTGTTTATTATTTTTATTTTTGTAGACATAGGGCCTCACTTTGTTGCCTAGGTTCATCTTGAACTTCTGGCCTCAAGTGATTCTCCCACCTCCTGTCCCAAAGTACTAGGATTACTGATGTGAACCACCATGCCCAGCCCAGACAGCTCTATCGTAAAAGAAGATAAAATAATTTCTTGAGACCAAGAGGTAGGCAAAGACTTCTTAGACAAAACACCAAACCTACTAACCCTGAGAGAAAAGACTGATAAGCTGAACTTCAAAAAAAAAAGAAAGAAACTAGATTCTTCCAACAATCACATGAGTGAAACCAGGAGCAGATCTTTCCCCAGCTGTGCCTTCAGATAAGACCACAGAGGTGGGCCAACAACTGATGGTAGCCCTGTGAGAGACTGTGAAGCAGAGGGCCCAGCTAAGCTATGCCCAGATTCCTGACCGACAGAAACTATGAGATTATGCATATTAAGCCACTAAATGTTGTGGGTCATTTGTTTTGCAACAATAGATCAGTCATATAAGAGGTGAGGGAAAGAGGATGGTTTTCACATAATTTCTGGCTCGAGCCACTAGGTAACTAGAGGTGTCAAGATTCTAGGAGAAAAAACAGATTTCAGAGCTTCCAAATTATTAAATATTCCCACATCCAGAACTTTAAATACAGTGGATTCTCAAAGAATTAAAATAAAATGCTAATATGACAACGATTTGGAATATAATTGAATTTTAGATGATTTATAAAGCATTATAATTAAGCATTTTTTTCTATCATTTAAGTGAGACATTGGGTAAGCCATGGGTAAGGAAGTCTGGAAGCCTTTTCTATAATATTAGAGGATGTAGCTCATTCTCTCTTGCCACCGCCAGGTAAGAAGTTCCTCTCACCCTCTGCCATGATTCTGAGGCCTCCCCAGTCGTGTGGAACTACATGTGCATTGCCATTGTGATTTCTCTTCTCATGATCCTAATATGTGCTATTGGCTGCTTACGGAGCATACAAGCAATACACAGCCCGGATCATCCCATTCTTCTGCTACCAGATCTTTGATTTTGCCCTAAATACCTTGGTTGCAGTCACTGTGCTTGTTTGTCCAAACTCCATTCAGGAATACACATGACAACTGCCTCCTAATTTTCCCTACAGAGAGGATGTCATGTCAGTGAATCCTACCTATTTGGTCCTTATTATTCTTCTGTTTATTAGCATTATCTTGACTTTTAAGGGTTACTTGATTAGCTGTTTTGGAACTGCTACCAATGCCAGGAACTCCTCCGATGTCCTGGTTTATGTTACCAGCAATGACACTACCCGTGTATGATGATGCCACTGTGAATGGTGCTGCCAAGGAGCCGCCGCCACCTTACATGTCTGCCTAAGCCTTCAAGTGGGCAGAGCTGACGGCAGCAGCTTGACTTTTCAGACATCTGAGCAATAGTTCTGTTATTTCACTTTTGTGATGAGCTCTCTGAGCTTGTTTGTTGCTGAAATGCTACTTTAAAAAATTTAGATGTTAGGTTGACACCTGTAGTTTTCAACATATGCTTTGCTAGAACACTATGATAGATTAGCTGTAGAATTCTTTCTGTAGGACTGGGGGTGTAATGGGCTTCTCTGACCTTCCCTAGGCACTGAAACTTCCCCCAAATCTGATGGACCTAGAGTCAGAGAAGTCCACTTTTGTACCTGCTGGGTCCCAAAGTTGGGCAGTTAGTCACATTTTTTCTCTCTGTTCCCTCTCTTTTGAAAGTGTAAAATAAAACCAAAAATAGACAACTTTTTCTTAAGCCATTCCAGTGTAGAGAACAAAACCTTATGAAAACAGGAATGTCAATTGTGTAATCATTATTCTAATGAGTTAAATAGAAGTCCTCATGTATGTGTTACAAGAATTTCCCCCATAACATTCTTTATGACTTAAGTTCAATGACAGTTTGCGTTTGGTGGTAAAGGATTTTCTCCATGGCCTGAATTAAGACCATTAGAAAACACAAGGCCGTGGGAGCAGTAACCATCTGATGACTGTTCTTGTGTATCTGGTGTCCACGGACATGGGCCACGTACCTCATCTGTGTTAGAGGGTGGAACGGATGTGTTTGGCGCTGCATGGGATCTGGCGTTCCTCTTCTCCCGGACTCACATCCCCACCCAAGGCCCTCTTAAGTGTTCTGCCCTAGCTTGGTTCAAAGAGGTCATCCAACTGACTTTATCAAGTGGAATTGGGATATATTTGATACACATTTGTCTAACAACATGGAAAAGGGTTTTCCTCCTCCTTTCCCTGCAAGGGACATCCTACTGCTTTGAACTTCCAAGTATGCCTAGTCATCTTTTAAAATGTAAAAGTTTTCAGAAAATTGAGGGTTGCTTTCCTTGTATGTGCTTATTATCTTGACTACCTGAATTGTAAGGGATTTTTATATATTCACATGTTCCAAAGTCAGCAACTCTCCTGTTGATTCATTATTGAATGTGCTGTAAATGAAGTCTTTTGCAATTAAAATGAGGTTTGCCCACACTCAAAAAAATAAAAAATTAGAGGATGTAATTTTCGACGAATCAGAGCAATCCAAAAAAATCCAAAAGTTGGGTTTGGACTCAGTGGAAGGAGGCAAATCAGGCTCTTTTTTTTTTTTTGCTTCAGTGAGGTTCAAGAAAACTGAGTCCTCTCTTTGGTCCATTATTCTTTGGTGTTTAAGGCTAAAACCCTGGTTACTAATCAAGTGTTACTTTGACTCACTTTACCTTTGCTTATCCTTGTTGCATCTGTCCTCCCAGAGGTAGAAGGGAGGGGGCAAGACAGAGTTGGGAATGCCTGCTTCTCTGGGCCACATGTCAACATAGTGGTGGCCATTTCTAAACCTGAAAGGTCTAAACATCAGGCCTTAGCCTGGCCTAGTGTTTCTCAACAGGGTCCCACGCTGGCCCAGGATAGTTTTCGTTGTTGTCATGTCCTGAGCATTGCAGGAGGTTTTGCATATGCTAGTAGAACCTGTCAGCCTTCCCACAATTTCAGATGCTTCCGAGTAGGATGGCACCTTCCCCCTCATCTTTGAGAACTAATGAATTCTTTGCGCTTACTCACCTACAACATGTCCCCTACACTGAACTTGCATCCTGCCATTTTCTAGATGTCTGCTTGGCAAGAGCTTCCAAATTGCTAAATATTCTCATCCCTAGAACTTTAAATACAATGGGTTCTCAAGGAATTAAAATAAAATGCTAATATGAGAATAATTCAGAATATAACTGAATTTTAGATTATTTATAAAGCAACATGGAATCTTGTAGAAACTCAGCGACAGGCTGGGCACGGTGGCTCACACCTGTAATCCCAGCACTTTGGGAGGACGAGACGGGTGGATCACTTGAGGTCAGGTGTTCAAGACAAGCATGGCCAACGTGATGAAACCCTGTCCCTACTAAATATACAAAAATTAGCCGAGTGTGGTGGCGCAGCCTGTAATCCCAGCTACTTGGGAGGCTGAAGCAGGAGAATGACTTGAACCCGGGAGGCAGAGGCTGCAGTAAGAGCTGAGATTGCACCATTGCACTCCGGCCTGGGTGACAGAGCGAGAAAAAAAAATACTAAAAAACTAAAAAACTCAGGGACGTTGTTATAACTAGTGTTCTTTGTTCTGTGGTGTGCTGAAAAGAGAGTTAATGGAGTCCTGGCTGTCAGTTCACCGTGAGTCATAAGAGGATGTGTCCTAATGTTTCATATTTGTAACTGGGGATCCCCTGGAAGAATCTTCTGGAAATTATGACCTTCATCTGGCGATTGTAGCTGTTAAAGTCTCCAAAGAAGCCATTCTTACATTGTGTTGTGAAATTATTACTCTCTCTCAAATCTGTGCCAGAAAAAAAATACAATGTGTGTTTATGTATAAATGATAAGCTATGTTTTATTGAACTAATCATTACAGAACTTTTATTGGGCACTGACCGTGAGCCAGACAGTGTGCTAGTTTCTTTGAAGGCATCATTTAATTTAATGCCCACAAAACGCCTCTGTAGTAACCAGTATTGTCATTCCCATTTTGCATGTAAGGAAGTTAAGGCTTAAGAAAGTTGTGCAGCTTCCTCAGGATCACCAAGCCAGTTAAGTGACAGTGTCAGATTTCAAATCCAAACTTTGAAATTCACTCTAATTTCTTCAGACTACATGGATCTGTTCTGGCCAGTCTAGCTGTCCCAAGTTCTTCTTTGGTGTTTTGAGTCTGAAGCCCCAACTACTAATCACGTGTTACTTTTACTCTCTTTGCTTTATTGCATGTGTCCTTGTTGAATATGTCCTCCTCCAGGAAAAAGGGAGGTGGCAAGACAGAGGCAGCAATAGGGGTTTATTCAACAGATATTTACTGGACACCACCACCCGCAGATCCCTGCACCGGGCAAACAGGACAGAGATGTTCCTGCCTGAAAGGATGTGTGGGTAAGTGCACAAATGTGTGGATAGATGGATAAAATAAATAAGGAGGAAACACATGGAATACATCAACAAATAACTGAATCATGGCATGATGACAATCAGCGGGAAGAGTGGATGGCATGGATGGGTGAGTGAACGGGGAGGTAAACGAACGAACGAATGAATGAATGGAGTGGTTTTGAGTCTAAGCTACCAGAACTCCGAGCGCCCAGCGGCGGGCGGGTGGGCGGAGGGGCGGCTACTCCACACAGTACGGTAGGCTCAGGCTGCTCCTCCTGGAGCCCCGCTCTCACCGCCTCCCCCTCCTCTCCTCCCTCTCCTCCCTCTCCTCCTCCTCCGCCGTCGCCGCCGCCGCCGGCCGCCCGCCGGCCGCCACGACCCCAGTCCCCGGCGGGCGGGCGGAGAAGGCGACCGCCGCGCGCTGCTGCACTCGTCCTGCCGCCGCCGCGATGCGCAGAGGGACCGAACCGCCTGGGGGCCGCCGCCGCCGCCTCGCCGCACCATGAAGCTCCGCAGCAAGGCGGCGGCGCTGCTCCTGCTCGCGCTGGCCGCGCTGCTGCTGGCGCTGCTGTCCCTGCGCGCTGGCCGCGCTGAGCCCCCAGCGCCTCCCGCACGCCCCGCGTCCGCCCCGCAGCGCCACCCCGCGCCGGTCCCCGCGCGCTGGCCGGCACCCGGCGCCCTCCCCGTGGCCAGCCCGGGAGTTCGGAGGCGCCGGCCCCAGCGTCCGCGCCCCCGAGCGGGCCGCCGGGGCGCTGCGAGACTGGAGAAGTTGGCGAGGTGAGTCGTGGCAACCCCAGAATCCCATCTGCGGACCAGTGTCTCGCTCCCTACACCCGTGCCAAGTCCAAGGGAGGCTTTGGGCTGGAGAGGCAGACTTCCAAGTTTCACCCACGGGCTGCCCACTTCTGTTTCTTAGCCCGATAGAAAAGAAGACCCACCTCGGTGGAGTCCCTCTAACAGCTCAATGCTGATAATCACGTACATTTTTGAAGTGTCAAGGAAAGTGGTTTCGTACATTAAATTTTTTAACTGTCAAGGCAAGGCGTATTTTTGCACTTTTGCAAACATGCACCCTTTGTTTAATTTGTCAGAAGCCATCACAATGCAAGAATACTTTATCTAATTCTCATGTTTCACTGGAGAATTTTGCGGAAACCTTAGATCTGATTGAGTTGGAAAAGTTAGATGTTTACCAAGGACTGGCAGCCTCTCGTTCAACCTGGAGTACCCCCATGCTTAGAACAGAAGAGACACTTGACCTAAGTTTATTAAAAAGTTATCTCCTTGAAAGGACTGATGCGTGGCACAGAAAAGACAGAGTGGGGGTTTCCAGATCCTCATTCTGTTTCAGGCTCAAGTGTGGTCAAAGGGTTCTCCTACTAGAAAAACATCTTAACCTTCGACCTTACGTTTGATACTCTCTTTCCCTACACAAAGCTTAACACGCGGAGGCTTTTCATCAGAGCGCTTTATATTTGGCCTTAGGGTTGCTGGAACGCCCCGCAGGTTAGGGATTTGCGTTCATTTCCTTTGTTGTGGAGGGCTTTTCAACAATCCCCTTGTCTTCTAGTGAGTCTGTTTCATCTGCCCTTTCAAAACTGTTGTTTGTAACTGCCAATGCAACGTCCTCGTTTGCTGGGCTCCTTAATTTCAACCTGAGGGGAGTTGAAAAATTCCTTTTAACCATAATGACTAAATCTCTTTGGTGCTTTTACTGTAACTAAGAGAAAAGACATGAAACCTCAAGAAGTAGCTGTGTAAGCTTTTGTTTCCCTTCTGCCTCACTACAGATGGGTACTGACAAGTTTTAGAGAGAAAAAGACCCCAACAATCTGTCACTTTAAAGTACTTATAACACTTTACAGCCCCTTCTGGATGTGTACAGTCTTTAAGGATATGTCTGTTAGGAAATTAATAGGATTTCTCCTCTTCTATACTGGTGTTTCTTATGATAGATTAATTAGGGTTTAACTGCAAGTTTAATATGATTGCTAAGTTTGATGGGACAACTGGTAAGATAATAATAATAATGTCACCCTTAACATTGTTAACCTATTGCCAGGGATATTGCTAACCGCAGTACACACAAATAGTCACAGTTAACACTTACATATACAACTACATAATCCACACCATAATCTCCCCCAACCCCCACTGCCTTTTTGTTTTTTTGAGACAAAAAAAAATCATGGCACATGCAGTGCCATGATCTCTGCTCACTGCAACCGCCACTTCCCAGGTTCAAGCCTCCCAGGTTCAAGTGATTCTCATGCCTCAGCCTGCCAAGTAGCTGGCACACAGGCGTGTGCCACCATGCCCAGCTAATTTTTGTATTTTTAGTAGAGAAACGGGGTTTCACCATATTGGCCAGGAACTCCTGAGCCCAGTGATCCACCTGCCTCAGCCTCCCAAAGTGTTAGGATTACAGGTGTGAGCCACCGCGCCCTGCCCACACCATAACCCTTTGATAGTGGTTTTCAAAGTGTGGACTTTAGACCAGTTGCACAGGCATCATCTGGGAACTTGTTAGAAATGCAGATTCCTGGGCCCCACCCTAGCCCTACAGAATCAGAAGCTTTGGAGCGGGGGGTGGTCAGCAACCGTGTTTTAACAAGTCCCTCCCATTGTTTCTCACGCACAACAAAGTTTGATAAAGTGCTTTGCAAAGCACCAATGGTATCCCCACTTTTCAGATGAGGAAAATATTGCACAAGGGTTAGCAATTTTTCCAAAGTTCACAAGTAACCTGGTAGAGAAAGATAAAGATCCAGGCAATGTGGACTCAGTTTGAGCACTTACGTGCTATGCTGTTGTCATGCCATAGACTTGCCTGCAATTCGTAATTTTACTGAGATGTTTTTTAACGAAACACTAGATTTTTGGATCTGTCTCATTCTTCAAGGTGTTGAGAACAGTGGCGCAGCATCTTTTTGTCTCTATCTGAACAAAGTGGCTCTGACTAGGAGGAGATCATGAACAGAATCCAAATGGATGTTTTAGGGAAGGACTATTTCCAGGAGCAACAGTACCCTTGAAGCCATTTTTCTTTTGAACATATCTCTTAGATTATCATGGAAATCATGGCCAACACCATAGGAATAAAGAACAAAATTTTAAAACTGGAAAAGGAGTAAAAGACAAAAGCCACAGGAAGTCTCAGGCTCAAGTGCATAAACAGTTGACATTTTCTGGGACTTATTTATTGTTTCTCTTGCTACCTTGACAGAAATGGCAGCAGAAGACTCTGAAGTTGTGAGGGAGTGGGAGGATCTCTGCTAGGTCTCCTTTATTGCTTTCCTAATTCTGCTTGGGTTAAATTTTTGTGGTTTAGGAGGAATTTCATTTAGGGAGGGAAGAGAAAGCCTCGTGTTTTCAAAAAACGAGTGCTTTAATCTCTTTACATGGCTAGAATCCAGAAGAGATGAAGGCTACGTGATCTCATTTCTCTGGTCTGGGGAGGGTCAGGCTTGTGGTTGTAGTTAGCTGAGAGCCTGGAGTTGGATGTGACACAGTCCACCACCTGCTTACCATCCACAGCCTGTGCTGCCTCGCCTCCCACAGGGGGCTGCTGTAAGTGAAGTTCTGCCACGTCAACGCAGGAAACATAGCACTCTCCTTCCACATCTTGTTTTCATTTCACAGAACTTTCCAAGGACTTGCCTCGTTAGTAGGCAGACCCTTCAATTTTATAACTAGTCATTTGTATACAATCTGTCCTGTGGTGGCCTCCTTCTCTATAAATATAAAGCCAGGAGGTAAGTAAGGTCTGAGCTTTTCTGTCAAGGGGGGGATTTGAAAACGGACACCATTCTGGAAGCAGCAGTCCCAGTGCACAAAAGAAATGAAATCTTCCTTCTATTTTGGCTTATTGGTGATTTATAGCTGGCTGACTTCCAAAAAGAATCTGAGGCGACGTATAGTAAAAGACACATATACAATAAGTCCATTGAAATGGTATGAAAAATGAAAAGTCATAAAGAAGAGGGGTAAATAAATACTGTTCATCAAAAATAAACAGTACTTCTGTTAGTAGGATTAAGTGTTAAATTTAAGCCTGGCAGCCATTTCAAAAAGGGAACCTTGAGGGGCTGCCTCATTTTCACTGAATAAGAGGAAAGGTTTATCAAGAGAGATCTTTTTTTTTTTTTTCCCTAAAACTGAATCATAAAATGAGAATTGTACTTGGGAATAGATTTTAGACATTAGAAGACTCGCTCTAGGTTGCTTCTGAAAACTCCTCCTTGAGCCTACATGTGGAAAAGGAAGGTTAACTGCTAATCAGCGCAATATAGGAAAGAAGTTGGCATGTGGGGTTCAGCAAATTGGGTTCTAGTCCAAAGCCATTTCACCTTATTTTCTTCATCTGTGAAATGAGCAAATTAATCCAAAAGTTGTCTAAGATATCTTCCAGCTCAGACATTTGATGATCCTGTGATGAGATCATCAAGTTTAGCAGCAAAAGCCCAACAATGGCTATTGCATGGCCCTTTGTGCTAACTCTTGCAAAATCACTGTTTCCCATTTATGGGCTCCATCCTAGGGCTCTTACTGATTACTCAACCGCAACCCTGTCCTGAACTTTATTCTTTTTCTTCTGTGTTGGCCTGGATATTGCTGTTTCTCTTAAAATATGGCTTCTAAGGGAGACTTAAGCTACCTTTAAGCCCTGTAGTTTTCCTCTGCCATTTTATTCCATAGTCATTCAGCAAATGTGATTGCACATTTACTCTATCAGGCACTCCTGGTACAATGGTGAATGGAGTTGCTGCCCTCCCAGAATTTGGGGAGGAGGGAAAGGAGACAATACAGAAACGCATTACACTTGGCAGCCTCCCCAGCTGCTCCAATGAAAGGAAGCATGTGTCTCATCAAGAGGCACCATTTCCTGCAGTTCCCTTTGGTGTCTGAGATAAGTCTTCTCAGAGTGTTCAAACCTGAATAAAGGTCTCACTAAAAGGGATGGTGTTCTGTAGCAAAATGCTTCATCTATGTCCATCCTATAATTAGCTAATAGTCCCAGAGCACATTAAAGGTGTCTGGATCTTGAGTACTGTCTATGATACTATGTAGTGTGAGTCTTGATTCTGTCCACAATTCATTTTTGTTGATTGGTCCATGAATCCCCTCGATCACCCTCCACACCTACTCAGTCAGTAAGCCCTATTGGTTCTATCTCAAAAATATATCCCCAGTTCCACCATTTCCACTCCATAGTTACTTAGTGAGGTCCTAACCACCATCATTCCCTAGCTGGACACCTACAGGTGCCTACTCTCTGGTTTGTGTGGTTCCACTCTAGCGCCCTCTACATCCATTTTCCTTACGGCCGCTGAAATAATCTGTAATAGGTAGACCAGATGGGGTCCACCTATTTGCTGGCTAAGCCCTGCAGTGATTGACTTCCTATCACACTAAGAATAACTTTAAGTTTCCCAGTGTGGCCTTTGAGCCCTTGCCTGATCTCAACCCCATTTAGTTTTCTGGCCTCCTCTTCTACCACTCCCCATTCACTTACTCTGCTTCAGCCACAGTGGGCTTCAAATACACCAAGCCCATTCCTGCTTCAGTAGTATGCATCTGTCTAGTGCTGGAATGTTTGCGCACATCCTAGCATGGCTAGCTCCTCCGTTTCTTTCAGGACTGTTCTCAAATATTTTCTCCTAAGGGGGTCCTCGCCATCACTCTCTTCTTCCTTACCCTGTTTAGTCTTTTGTTTTTCAGAGCACTCATTGTGTGAATATTGTATGTTATTTGCTCCTGCCCCCTCATGTACACTT